ATCACCATCATCTTCATCATCCTCACCATCACCATTATCACCATCATCAACATCATCACTGGCATCATAACCACAATCATCATTACAAGATATCCATCCCTCCATCACAACTATCTTAATCATCACCTCGTTGTCTCCATCAGAGTGTAACCTGCACAGCGTCGTTATTAGAATTATTAACGTTATTCATCAAACAAACGAACCGATATTTTCTACTGCTACCCGCCCAGCTTGTCTCAGTGTGCGTTTGTGTGTGTGTTTGTATGAGAATGAGAGTTAGTCTATGTGTGTGTTTATGTGTGTTTATGTGTGTATATGTGTGTGTCTAAACATGTGCGTGTTTACGTCCAAATTATGTACAAACACATACATACTGAATAACCACAGTAGCATAAACACATATGCAAACAGATAAAAACCTAATAAAAACAACACACACATATCCATACACATAAACAAAACAAAACGCATGCAAGACCGTTATGTGTGAGTGTGTTAAAAACTAAAATGATCAAGGTTACTGCTAGTACTACCTACTACTGCTACTACTAATACTAATAACATCACTACTACAATACCTCAAATCACTACTACAAGCCACTACTATTACAACTGCTGCTGCTTCTGCCGAATACTACTAATATTTACTTTAAACACCATCGGTTTTACTACTTCTACTACAACTACTACCGCTACTACTACTACTGCAACTACTACAACTATTACTACAACCACCTCAACTCCACTACTACTACAAACACTGCTGTATTGATTTGTGAGTCCGTTCATATACGCATACATTTTTGTATGTATGTATATATGTATGTATATGTTTATGCATGTAATGTATACATACGTACATATAAATACATGTATATATATATATATATATATATATATATATATGTTTGTATTTTTAGTTTTGTGGTCCTTGGTATTAACCTAGTGTGTATTTCTATACGTCTAATATACATCATGTTATCAAGTTAATGAGAGAAAAAACCGAGCACATAATCATTGCTAGTGCATTGTTTTGTTATTGTTTTTGTCTTTCCTCTGACAACAGAGCATGAATTTTAAAAGATAAAATTTAATAATATATGAAAGCAAACAAATATGCAGACAAACAAACACACCAACAGAAACAAACACACACAAACACACACGAACGAACGAACGAATAAATAGAAACAAACACACATGCAAACAAAGAAAAACAGACACACACACACAAACACAAACACTCGCATAAGAGCGAGCAAAGGCACAAACAAGTACACTAGTGCCACATGTGAAATGTTTTATTTTAACAGGCAGTTGTCATTAATGCAAAAATAGAAGATTCTCATTACTTAAACGGCTATTACTACTACAACTACAACTAATACTGCTACTATTACTACTGCTATTACGGTTGCTCAACTGCAACTACTACTACTACAACCACTGTTTCTACAACTACTACCACCACTACTACTACAACTACAACAACAACAACTACTACTACTACTTCTACTACTACTCTACTACTACCACTACTACTACCATTACTACTACTACTACCATTACTACTACTACTACTACTACTACTACTACTACTAATATTATTATATATCTTAAATTTATGATAGACATCATTGGTTAGATAGTAAATCAATTAAGATTATATATCAAAATAGCTCTTCATTATACTTGGGTTGATATATAGGAAAATTTATTAACTAAGTCTCTCTCTCTCTCTACATATATATATATGTGGGTGCTTATGAATTTAATGATGTTATAAAAATCATTATTTGTCATTATTCATTTTATTAGTATTATTATTATTTTTGTTATTGCAGTTTTTATTATTATTGTTGTTGTTTTTATTGTTGTTGTCGTTGTAAAAATTCGTGTAATTAATCGACATTGGTTTTATTAAAATATATTAATTTAGATAATTGGTTAATGCTGTTATAATTTATATTATTACGATTATTATTTTTATTATTATTTTTGTTGTTGTTGTCATTATTATTATTGTTGTTGTTGTTGTTGTCGTTACTGCTGTTGATGTTTTTCATAGGTGAATTTTATTAAATTTATGCGCCAAATTTTTAACTATAAACTCCAATTTCGAAAAAATAAATTATTTAAGACTATAATATAATATGTAATATGTGTGTGTGTGTGTTTGTGTGTATGTATGTGTGTGTGTGTGTGTGTGTGTGTGTGTTTATTTGATGATTTCAACAATAATGATGATCATAATGGTGATGACGATGATAGTGATAATGATGATAATGACGATGATGGTGAGTACGATGATGATGATGATGATGATGGTGATGATGATGATGAGGAGGATGAGGATGATGATGAGGAGGATAAAGATGATGATAATGTGCCAGCGTATAACAAATAAAATCCATGTCGGTATTTCATTGTGCATCTCATTAATTCCCCTTCTGTTCATCTCCTACGTTCTTACCTCTCTGTACCAAGTAATACATCTCACTGTTGTGTGTGTGTGTGTTGTGTGTGTTGTGTTGTGTGTGTGTGTTGTATAGAGTGTGTGTGTGTGTGTTTGTGTATATATATAACTGTGTGTGTGTGTGTGGATGTGTTGTTTAATGTGTGTGTGTTTGTTTGTATGGGTGTTGTGTAGTGTGTGTGTGTTGCGTATTGTGTTTGTGTATGTGTGTGTGTTTTATAGAGTGTGTGTTCGTGTGTGTGTTTGTGTGTGTGTTGGATTGGTATTTCGGTACATAGTTGTATTGATTGTATCACGTTGTATTCTTTGACATTATCGTAGTATAGTTTTGTATCATTTTCATTGTATTGTTTTGTATTTTTGTATAAATTGTAATATTTGTTTAGTTTTGTCATATTTAATTTGTATTATTTTTATAGTTTTGTAATGTTTTGTAATGTTTTGAATTTTTTGTATTAGTTGTAAAGTTTTTTTGTATCTTGTATCTTTTATAATTTGTAATATTTTGCATTGTTTTGTATCATTTGTATAGTTTTTAAAACCCTGCGGTTTTAATTATGGTTTCAGTTGAGACCATTGTATAAATTTCCAATTGTCATGAACTTTATTAAAACAATAAATAATAGCGGTCAAACAAACTTGCCTAAGACTTTACATTTGCCAAAACATATCTGGCTCAAACAACTTACCGACAAACTGGCCTTACCTAATTTATCTACTCACCTAAAAAGTTTGTACCACAAATACTTCCGCCAAGACAAACCATTTTATAAAACATTAAATAACAATCTCCATCTCATGAGCACATTAAACAACAAAACGTTTAATGTTTTTTAAAGGCCATCAAGATAATTTTTTTAGTCTTGCGGTAAAACTTGTTCCACTTTTTGTGTGTGCGTGGAAAAAATATTAGTCAAAAAATTCAAAACAAAAACAAAATTATCTTCACATATGAACAAATGTTCATTCTTACACGTAAACAAATGTTCATCTTCACATGTAAACAAATGTTCATCTTCACATGTAAACAAATGTTCATCCTCACATGTAAACAAATGTTCATCCTCACATGTAAACAAATGTTCGTCCTCACATGTAAACAAATGTTCATCCTCACATGTAAACAAATGTTCGTCCTCACATGTAAACAAATGTTCATCCTCACATGTAAACAAATGTTCATCCTCACATGTAAACAAATGTTCATCCTCACATGCGAGCGTAAATTCAAATAGCCGATCTCATAGAATTTTTATTCGCATATAAACAACTTGAGCATCTCGACAATGCATTATTATGTTTGTTCGTCTTGTTTTTATATCTTTCTGTCTATCCATTTATCTGACCGTATATCCATCTGTTTATCCATTCATTCATCCATCTATCCATCTATCCATCCATTCATCCATTCATCTTTTTATCTATCTTTCTATCCATTAATCTCTCTGACTATCTATCTATTCGTTCCTTTATCCATATTTGTATTCATGGAGGTGTGACTGCAGAAAAGCGTATGTATTCATGTTAATAACTGTATAAAATCAAACTATTAGAAAAACATTTAGAAATGATTCCTCGTGTGTTTTCGAAGTTATACACAACTTAATAACTTAATATACCCATTGAATGAGATAATCACATACAAACACACAGTGTGTGTTTATGTGCTATTGTACGCAATTTGTGTGTTTTCTATCCGAAATATGTTAAAGTAATTTTAGTAGAGATAGGCAATGGATTAAATATGCCCATACACATACAAAAACACACATATTCTCAAACTTACATGTATATTTAAATACACGCATACATAAATACACATACACACATACAATCACACATATAGTCAAACATTCAAACATACACCTCCATAAACACACATGCACACAGATACACACATACACACACACGTACAGAGATACTTAAACACACGCAGACAAACAAGAACAAATATAAGAGAATCTTGCTTTGTTTGCAGGCAATTATTTATACAAACTAACGTTGTAGAAAAAAAAGCATTTGAAAAAAATAGAAACAGGTTTGTATGCATGTATAAACACATAAACAACATACAAAGTGATAATGTGCTTGTTTTTATATACAAACGCTATCATGTTAACAAACAAAACAAAGCAAAAACACATACGTATATACAATCCTTATTCGAGCATTATTATATGTATTTTAACGTGCTAATATACACGCATGTATATACAAATTATACAAACCATTAATACAAAACATACACCCAGCCAAATATACAAAAACAAACAAGCAAACGAACTCTCATTAAAATGCAGAACGCTGAAACGTACGTACCAGGCGACTATATTTATATTGATTGTATTTAAATATATTGCACTACCCTGATAACAATATACATCTATGGAAAAGTATCAACAATAATTGTTTAATACTAAGCATAAACACAAGTATAAACTAAAATTACAGCTCTAGATGTATTCTATAGATACCTGAACATACAACCAATACTTTAACATACAATAACTACCCATATATACAATTAATACATAAATATACAACACATACCTAAACATACAAACATTATTCCGATATACAAAAAACAACGCTTTTCATCTACAAATGTTTTTTTACGCGAGTGAACGTGTTAACCATATCAGCAACAACAACAAACTTGAAAAAATATTTGCCAAAAATATCCATAGACAGATCTAAAATCTAATCCGGCTACTTGCAAACAGCCGTAATAAGAAATAACTGAAATGAACAATTTCACATTTATACAAACATATATACAAACATACATATAAATATATACAAAAGACATGCATACATGCATACAAACAACATACAAACAAACTAATGTAGAAACAAAATAAGAATAAGCAGTGATAGGATGTTCATTAAGAATCACTTGCTCGCTTATTTCTCTATAATCTATAGAGCCTTGGGCGGTTGGTGTCGGTAAGTTTGTTTATGTTTTTGTATGCTTTTAGTTTGTATATTTGTGTTTTTGTATGTTCGTGCTTTTGTTTGTTTGTGTATTTTTAAGATTGTATGCTTGTATATTTTTAAAATTTTATGCTTTTATATTTTTAAGATTGTATATTTGTGTATTTTTAGGATTGTATGTTTGTATACTTAAAATTGAATGTTTGTATGTTTGCGAGATTGTATAATTGTCTGTGCGTTTATACGTTTTTACACAAAAAAGTAATTTGTTTATTCCTGCGCATGTGATGTACTCGCGAAGAACGGTGGCGTGTCTCTTACTTTGCTGGTTGCATGTTTGTTTGCACTGTGAACACGCACAACAACACACACCTATGCGGAGCTAGTGCCTTTTTCACATTTTCCTATTCTGATCAATTTCCTCGAGTCGTTTCTTTGTTTCCACGTGCGTATCTTTCTCTACATTTTTTGTATGACAAATTGTGGGTTTCTATGCAGACGTTTTTTGAAAAAATATTTTAAATAAAATAAAATCCTACATTAACATTTTTTATGTTTGTTTTTGATTAAAATATAAATGCACAGTAGCTTGTACATACTAGTTTGTATGCACTCAAATTGTAGATCTAGATTTGTATGTCTTCGTTCCTATTCACGTACGTGTGTATGTGTGTACATGTTTGTATGCGAACGTTTGTATGTATATTTGTATGTACATAATTGTATGTTTGCCAAGTGAACGAAGGGCATTTTTTCCGTTTTTTTCGTTTTGTTTACCATGTTTCCACAATTTTTTTTTCTACTTCGACTTTTCTTGTAATGTTGGTGTTTTATGTTTGCGTGTTCCTACATATAGATGTGTTTGTATGTTTGTCTTTCTGTGTGTGTATGTATATGCATGTATGTTTGTTTGTTTGCACGTGTGTGTTTACATCTTATAAAACGTGATAGTTTGTATGATATGCTTGCTTATATTTGTACATGTGTGTGTTTGCGTTAGTATAGGAATGTATTTCACGTATGTTTGTATGTTTGTTTGTATGTTTGTTTGCTTATATGCGATTTATGTGGTTTATGAATAACTTTGCTGAATATCATGCATTGTCATGCTGATGTCATTGTAAATGTTATTGCGGTTGATGTAGTTAATGATGGTGATGATTTTAATGTTGATGTCATATTTGTTACTTTTGTGTTGTTTCTATTGTTAATGTCTGTGTTATTGGTGGTATTAATTTAGATATTTTTTTAATGTAATGACAATTTTAATGTTTAGGTAGAATTGCTATAGTTGATTTTACTGGTAATGAATTAGATGTTATTGAGAATGTTGTTGTTAATGTTATTGATGTTGTGAAGACGTTGAAACACGTACAAACGCAATCACGTTAGTTTTAAAAGGTTCAAGAAATTAATATCAACATGGCTATGAATGCTGGAGCAGGAGCAGTGCAATCATGTTTCAAAATAAACTATCACAAGTCGTAGGTCTGCATGTATCTGTGTATGTATGTATTTATGTATGTATGCATGTATGTTTGTTTGTATGTATGTATGCATGTATGTTTGTTTGTATGTATGTATGTATTTATGTATGTATGTATGTATGTATGTATGTATATATGTATGTATGTATGTATGTATGTATGTATGTATGTATGTATGTATGTATATATGTATGCATGTATGTTTGTTTGTTTGTTTGTATGTATGTATGTATGTATGCATGCATGTATGTATGTATGTATGTATGTATGTATGTATGTATGTATGTATGTATGTATGTATATATGTATGCATGTATGTTTGTTTGTTTGTATGTATGTATGTTTGTATGCATGTAGGTAAGTATGTATGTGTGTCTGTGTATGTATGTATGTATTGTGTGTATGTGTATGTATGTGTGTGTGGTGTGTGTGTATGTGTGTGTGT